TGTTCATCCAAGCTCCTCCTGCAGCCAGCGTCAACAGTCATCCGTGTGTTGTAAGTGAGCCCGTGTAGGAAGCGTGTGAACAATTAACCCAACTTTCTCCAGTCCGTGGTTGAGGGCCACATCTCAATAATGTCCTTGAGCCCGTTCCCAAGCTCATAAAGTGACTCTCCTTCCCTTCTGTACAAAGCTTGTGATACTGGTTCCTCATCTGTGCTGTTTTTACTTGGAGGCAAAATACTTTGCCAAGCAAATAGCTTCTGCGACAATTGATCCCAAGTGGTATGGACCCAGCTGGCAGTGAGTGCAAACAAGCCTAGCCGTTGTCCCAGAGAGAACGGCAAATAATCTGAGTCGAATAGCATCATTGGTCACTCCATTAAGTTTCAACAAGTGTCGCAATACTCCAAGCAAAATCGATCAGGTGCGAAGGTTCGGGTCTTCCAGTAGGCACCTCTCCAAACTGAATTCTGCTGGAACCATAATGAGAGCAGTGATGCGTTTCATGCTCAAAAGCTTATTAGCTTCAACATTTTGGGCCTTGTAATGCCTTGACTGTGCTGCCTGAAGCAATTGTGGCGCTGCTGAAATCCTTAAGAAGCTGATTTTGATCTCCCATCATAGCTTGTTTCTGTGTCCTTTCGCTCCCTTATAGACCTTCTTATGTTTGCAAGCGCCGTCACCGATAGTCAGGCATTGTTTTCGTCGTTTACTTCTATTTTGATTCCCTTGCATAAAAGAAGTGAGAAGCCCCAAGAGAAATAAAAAAAAATCTAGTCTTTAATAACGTAAAGACTCAAATATTAACACCGTAGTCCCCGGCATACGGGCGCCAAAAACTTGATAGGCAAATAATCTCAAGCGCACAGACTCATTGTAGCTATCAGGTCGATCCCAGGACTAGGCGTTAATTACAAATCTCATCGTATTCGACTAGCCCTATAATCTAATGAGTGAATTAGAAGAGATGAAATTAAAAGAATAAAATAATAACTTAATCAGCGTGGAAATTCAATATAATGAAGAGTCAGGCATTGAGTTTTCACCAAACTTCGATGCCTCAATGACTGAATTTTTTAGTCTCCGGCTGTTGGTTAAACTAAAGAGGGCTGAATAGCCTAAATTAATCTAAAGCCTCTTCAAAAGGCTACTAAAGATCATGCCTAGACTATCTCAATTAAACTACTTTCGAGAATTAAGATTTAAGTTAAACCCATTAAGCTTTATGCAATCCAAATCAAATCCCCAAGGACATCTAGCTCCTACTTTCGGTTGTTCGAGCCTCCCTGCCTTAATTTTCTAGAGATCCTGCGTACTAATCTTCACCTTTCAGTCCTTCAATTAATTACGCTATGATTGCTAATACCGGTGATCAAGCGAATCAACAAAATTAAAACAACTAAGAAATCAAGTTCAAGAGGTTAAACTTCACAAGAAATATATACATTCATCATCACATCACAAAAAGTTGGCGTTCTTCCCAATCCTAGACAGAAATCTACTCACACATTGATTGCGAATAAGAGAATACATTCAAATAATATGCAAATCAATCATTAAGAAGAAATAAATCAAAGAGAGGAAAAGAATTAACCCGTCTTACAATTGAATCTTTCAAAATAAGAACTTGCCACATTCAAATCTTCTTACAAGAGATAAATGTTTCTTCAATACTTGAAAAACCTCTAGAATAGTTGCTAGTGATGGCTAAAGTAGAACATAAAACAAAAAATATCCAAAACCCTAAGTCAAAACATCTATTTATATGTCTCCAAAAAATCTGCGAAAATAACTAATTCACGCCGCCACCGTGTGGTCTGCCACCACGACCAGGTGTGGTAGGGGGCTGTTTTGCCTGATTTTGTGCTTGTTTCTTCAGTTTTTGATATCTTTGGCTATAACTTTTGCCGTCCGGACCTCGCGAATTGGCAGGTGATTCAACTTGAATTGCGAATCCTGTTGAAGAGCATCTACAAACTTTCATTCTTTTGAGTTTCTTCCATTCAAACTGCCATCATGGTCGCAAATTCTAGTATCTTCATACTCGTGCATCCATTTTCCTTCACAACCATGCCATTCAAAATGCTTGTTGGCTTGCTTCAAACTCTTTGCCTAAAACTTCCAACGATCATCAAATCTTTTCAATCTTGAGGCCAATACCTTACATATAAGAACACCAAACACAGAGTATCTCGATCTAAACACGAAATATGCATTAAACAGCTCGTAAATCCATGCTTAAAAAACACTAAGATAATGCATATTTTACGTGTTTATCACCCAGACGCAGCTTCTATACCGCTGCCAAACGCAGCTCTATACCGCTGCCAACGCAGCTCCTAATACCGCTGCTCAACGCAGCTCCAACCGCTGTCCAACGCAGCTCCAAGCGCTGCCCAGCAGTTCTAACCGCTGTCCCAACGCAGCTCCACCGCTGCCCAAACGCCAGCTCTATGACCGCCTGCCCAACGCCAGCTCTAGTCTTACCGCTGCTCAACGCAGCTCTAAAACGCTGACCCAACGCCAGCTCCAAGCGCTGCCCCAACGCAGCCTCTATACCGCCTGCCTCAAAGCACTCTATACCGCTGCTCAACGCAGCCTCCAACCGCCTGCCCAAACGCACTCCAAGCGGCCAGACGTAACTCTAACAGCGCCAAAACGCCAGCTGTCCAAAACAAGATGCCAACGAGTTCCATGCCCGCTGCCGTCGGAGCTTTCAGACACTGTGTTCAATGCTCTCCAAACACTGGTATGAACGCGCCAGAATCCCCCTGAACGCGGGGTTTTGCATTGGACTCGTTCAAACACCGAGCTGAACAGTTTCAAAACCATATTCCCAACGGGGGCACCTGAGAGGGATCACAACTCACTCAGGAGTGATTTAAGGGCGGTTACATCCATAAGCCCACTGAAGGAGCGAATTACAGAGGTGCGTTACACCCTTAAATCGCCCTATAAATAACCTGAAAATCAATTCAATTCAGGGGGTTCGGGCAGTCTGTTGCGAACTTCTTGCGGCTAGTAACAGATCCCTTAGAGATTTCTGGAGCTTTGGAGAAATCGGCAAAAAAAAACCAACCCAAAAAGCATCTTCTTCATCCTTTGGGCTTGATAACGACTTTCGGGGTTTTAAATCAACTCTTTTCATAGAGTTTTAAACTCGTTTCAGAGTTCTCACAACAGTCAAATCTGAGCGAGAAGACCACGCCTTCCAGTGAAGCAAAACATCGGATCGTCAACGGAGAGCAAACCGGACGCGAGAGCATTCGATGAGGCACTCCCATCCGCCAGCCTGTTGGAAGAACCCAGAATATAAACAAAGGGCGAGATCCAGATCAATTCTCCTCTTTTTGTAATCAGGAAATTCAATTGTAACTGAGATTAAAGGAATACAAATCAATTTTCCTTCGTTTCTTTTACTGCAAAATTTTCCACAAACAATGTCGAAGTTCAAATCTCATAACTTCATAAAGAAAAAAATAAGCATTTTTCAGCCATTAACCCTTTGGACCAATCTCATCATGATCGCTAAAACCAAATCAGCAAATAAATGAAATGTACACATGAATCATCCATGGTCGCTAAACAGATGATCGACAGATGAACTATAAATATCCCAATCAATTTACTGAGCCGATTTAATAATAATAGATATCACCATTAACCATTCAACATCTAATCATCAATGTGATCGCAAAATTGCTTTCTAACTAGCCCGCATATCTTTAGCACTAACCCATCAACACTATATTCTTAACCTAAACCACTGTTGTGGAGAGAAAACTTAGATCAAATAAATAATAATAAAGTAATTTAACGTCAAAAAACTATCAATAAAGTAATACATTTTGAAGATAATAATAAAAGATCTAATCATCACAAAAACAAAGTAAGACAGGAAAATAAACGCATGATTAACTTCATGGTAGAGAAATTTTCTAGGCAGAGAAACTAACCAAGAGGGAGGGAGGTGGGGTTTCACTTTTTTTTTCTCAATTGTATTCTTTCCAATGTGTGGGATAATTTGAGAGAGGAGAACTTATGGTTATATATATAGGTAGTATAATTTGTGGGATAATTATGACTAATTATCCCAATTCTAATTCTAGTAGAATTCTACTTGACTAACGCACCAAAAAAATAATACAGTTCTAGTTCTACAAAAGTTCTACTTGACTAACACTATAAAAAAATATCCCATTTTCTAGTTCTATGTGACTAACACCTTAAAAATTTATCCCACAAATTATCTCAGTTTCAGTTTTAAGTTCTAGATGACTAACCCCCCTAAGGGGCCGTTTGGATAATAGAAGTATTAGAAGTAAGAAGTAGGTTATAGAAGTAACTTTCAAAGCTATGAAGTAGGAAGTAGTGGAAATAACATTTTTTTTGTTTGTTTCATATATTTTTAGAAGTAATAGAAATAGAACTTCTTCTTCATTTACTTTTTTTGTTTGGATAAATTTGGAAATATTATTAGGAAGTAATTTTATCAATGAAAAGTTGTTAGAAGTAACTAATAAGGAAAATATTAATAAAAAAATTATTTATGTCATAATTAATATGCATTTCAACTACTTCCGAGCTAATTCTGAGTATTGAGTATTGGAAAAATATTTTGGAAGTAAGGATGACACGTAGGCGCCACATAAACATTTATGGAAGTATTGGAAGTAAGTTTTTCAGAGAAATAAACAAACTTTTTTGCTTGGAAATAGCAGAAGTAGCATCTACTTCTTTTACTTCAGCTATTTCACAATTATTTCCATGCAAACAAACAAGCCCTAAGGGAAGGTAAGGGAACATGTAAAACTTGGGAATTTGACGAAACAAACATGCCTGAGTGGATTTGACAGCCTAATAAACAGGATTTTTCAAATCTTTAACCCTGGTTCAGTGATTCGTGAAATCCACTCTCCACCAGGTCTGATCGCGATCACTCTCTCGTCTCCCGGCTCTCCCCAAATCATCAACTTTCCTCCCCGCTAACCCTAGCAGCGCATCCACCCTCCACCATGTCTGATCGCGATTACTCCTTTCGTCTCCCGACTCCCCCCCACAAATCATCGACTTTCCTCTCCGCTAACCCTTGCAGCGCCCGTCACCGCCCATCGCCGGGGCCTCGTCTTGAGCATCGACCTGTCAACGCCGGCCGCCCCTTGCCCCCCTACCCCTAGCGTTGTCCTGCCTTCGCCCCGTCGCTGCCCCTAGCGTCCCGTCGCCGGCGCCTTTCCCTGAACACCGCATGTTCGTTGCGACCCCCCCTCTCTCTCTAAAATTTTGACCTCTCAGATTTCCTAACAAACGAAAACCCTAGATTGAGGGAGCTATCGAGATCCTAGATCTCTATATTAGTCTCTAGTTCTTCTCATTATGGAAAATATTATGTTTTCATCATTTTATTTGATCCTCTTTCACTTTGACATCCATATTCATGTTGATGGAAGATGAACTTTTTTTTATATTTTTGTTTATTTTTTTTTGTTGTCCTTTTTGTGAAGTTTATTTTGTTTGCTAGATTAACTTTAATAGAGTTACAATGCCATGGAGAGTGTCTCTGATTGAAGTTTGTAAGAAATAACGTATCTTTTGATAATATTTGACATCTTCGAGTTTTATGAGAATGCGAAGATAAACTCTCTAGTCTTTCTTACACACTTGTTATATGAAATTTTTATTGCTCCTAGACTTTGGTCCTTGTTAGTGTTAGCTACACTCCACATAGATCACTTGCTCCAGGCTTATGTTGTCACGTACGATTAGATATGTGAAATACAGATTTTGATGAATCGATTTAAAAGCTCGATGGTCATTTCACCTCTTATTTCTTTTTTCTGATGATTGCGGGTGCATTTGGGAGCTTCTTCAGCTCAATCCCTTGTCTCAAGGAGCATAACTATCACAATGCGGGTAATTGGATGTTATTGTTCTGATTCGTTATTTACCATGTTTTCTAAATTTGGTTGGTAAATGAATTTCAAGTGATAACCCTGCAACTTGGGATCTTTCCATGCACAATGCCACGTTGATAGAATATATAGTTTATCATGATGAAGCTTGGACACACTGATGTCGTATGATCCAAATTAGTTGATAGGGGAGTATAATTCAAACTCGATATTGAAAGGATTAAACAAGTATTCACATAGCAGGAAACAACATGTGTATGCAGTTTTATTACATTTATATGAGGCTTGATGGTATAGTTTAAACTTGATATCGAGTACAATTATAGCAAATACCACAACCTTGACTTGAACAATGATGCTAATATTAGAAAAATATGTACAGCTTCTTTAATTAAGAATTTTTAATAGATAATTTTTTTTATATGTGGTAAGCAATGGCTTTGTGGCTACCCCTATGGAGCAATCTTGCTTATAACTTTGCTACGGTTCTCAAAATAAGGATTTTGGTTTTCATATGGGAACTCCGTAGAATGATATGCTCTCATTAGGAATTTGATAGCCCAAAAAGTCCAAATTAAGTACAAGTTTGCAAACTTTGAAGTAAATCAGATTTAAAAGTAGATAGATGCAGTGGCATCAACTCAGTTCTAGAATTGAGGGTAGTTCTTTAGATTTATAATGAAAAGGGCTATTTTCACTTATACCCCAAAGTTCAGTCTATTTTAAATTTGATACACCAAAGGGAGTTTTGCTCAAAATATTTCCCAAAGTTTGCCTCTTTTCCAACTTTAATACCCAAATGTTTGCTTGTTTAGAAAGTACCCCAAAGTTCAATATAGCTTAACTTTTATACCTCGAACTTTGGCAAAAAAAAAAAAGTTCGGATGTCAAAGTTAAATTTTGTTCAACTTTGTGCATTAAAGTTCAAAATTTTGAATTTTGGGGTGCCAAAGTTATTTTTTTTGTATGTTAGGGTATTTTTTTGGCAAATATTTTTTTTGGGATATTGAAGCAAAATTTTGCTCATCTATGTGGTATTTTCTGCAAAAAATACACTAGGATATTTAAGATTAAATTATCCTAATAAAAGTAAGTATACTTTTGATGTAAGCATACGTTTGATGTGTATACTCTGGTCTAATTATTGCTTCATTTACTTTATTGTAAGTGAATTTCAATGAAAGTTTGATGGTATACACACACACGCGCGCGCGCGCGTAATCATGAGTTCTAAGTCTCGGGCGAAAATCAAAATTAGAGAGAGAATCCTAGCCGACGTAAAAGATGATTTAGGCTTTATGCTTGAAATTTTGGGTGAATTTATGACATTTCGATGTTAGACATACATTTCCTGAAAACTTTTCTTGCGGTAATATTTTCGAGCTTGTGGCTAAGTTGCGAAACATTTTGTTCCTATTGTAGACTTCCAGCACAATTATTCTGTTACTTTAGTTTTAATTTTGCTACAGTTTATTTTCCAGAGTTTTATGTGATTTACTTGTTAGAATTTAGAATGTTCTTGTTCGATGCATTTGCTAGCATCATATCTCTGTATCTTTGAAGAAGCTAAAATGACATTTTCAATCACCATTCGGAAGTTTTCTTTGGCTCCAAATTTAACATTCTCGTTTTGAGGATTGAGTTATTAACGGTTATAAAAGCATGCAATAAGACAAGCTCATAGTAATGCTTTCATTTGAATGTGATAACATTCTCTCTTTCACACTTAAGAGCTAGTTTAGGGATGCTTCTAAGCTTAAATGATTATTTTGTTTGTGAGGCGCTTTGAATTTGTAATCAATAAATTGAAAATCATGTATATGCAAACAATAGATTTGAAATAAAGGGATTTGAAATCCTTTTATTTAAAAACTGTATCCAAACAAGTGATTTGTAAATTTATGGATTTCAAATTTTAGATTTAAAACCATGAGATTTCAAATCTTTATCTCAAATTCAAATCTTGTTTCCCAAACGCAGCCTAAACAACGTGCTTGTAAAATTTCAAAGCCAAGTGTTAAAACTCGAGGAGGGGCGAATAAGAAGATGATGTAATGTGGCTCATAGTTTCATCATCCAAAGCTTGCGGCAACAATGAGAGAGCTTTGGCAAGCATCCTGCACTCTCAACTCTTCCACGTCATCCCCTTCAGCTTGTGAGTTCTTTCTTTCTCTTTATAGTTCGTGTGCACCACTTGTTTGATGAAATGCCCCTGAGAAATTTCACACGTTTGATGCTACAACTTTGTGGAGGTTTGATAATGATGATGGGTAGTTTATGTTTATCCAATTTTGTGTTAAAAAATACCGCTTTAATGATAACCCAATTGCGAATTTAACCCAATTGGCGTAAATGCAGTGTCTTGCGGATGTGTTGCAATCCTTAGCTTTTGGATACTGCATTTATCTTTAATGTACAAAATTCAGGCAAAAAGAAGTAATTTTGTAATGGAAAATACTTTAGTTTTACACATTATTCCACGAAAATCTCCTTTTGTAAAATTTTGTGAGATTTAGTAATTATGAAGGTATTTTATATTTATCCAATTTTTATGTATTTAAATTCATGGTGCGTGATGTTTAGAAAAATTTGAAGCTGTATCGATAAACCACTTGCGAAATGAAGTTATTCAGCATCAATGCAATAACTTGGTAATATGTTGCAATTCCTAGCTTTCGGGTATTTGCATTCATCTCTAAGGTATAGGTTGAAAGCAAAAGGAAGCAATTTTGTGACAGGAAAGTGTCTTACTTTTGTAAATATTTGATTACATGAGGGGAATTTCACTTCAAGTCTAGATTTACAATTTTTTGTTGGTTGTAGTGTCGAATGCCCATCACTGAAGACTACTTGTACAGTTGGTGGGTTGCATCAGATGGTAGAATTACAGAAGTCTATTTTTGTAGCTTCTATGAGAGATTTGATTGAAAGTCCTCCAGAGAGTGGAGCAACTATCAAGCTCAAAGCTTCCATTGAGATGCCCAGTAGTTATCGTCTGGTAATACTCTGATGTGTTTCTGCATTAATTCTGATATTGTTACCAATTTTTTAATTTTTAATCTCATTTCATCAGGTTAAGCATTCAAAGTTCTCAACCTCGGTCGAAGCCCAAGACTATTCCAGTGACTCTCACTTTGAACCGAATCCCCATATTGAGGTTCGTCGCCACATGCATGAAAGCGCCAAATTGGGCAATTTGGATGAAGCTCTAAGAGCTCTGGCTTTCTTGAAACCAAGTATTCTTGATTACAACGGAATGCTTCATTCTTATTTCAAATCCAGTAGCATTTCATTTGAGCGTGTGGCTGGAATTTTTCAGAAATTGAAGAGGTTTGGGCCGTCTCCAAACTTTTGGACATTCAGTATACTGTTTAATGGACTGTGCTCATCAGGATTGCTTAAATCTTCTTCTTGTGTGGTGGAAGATATGTGCAACCATGGGTTTGTTCCTTCCTTCTGTTTGTTGATGAAATTGCTGAAGAAATCTCTGAGCTCAGACAGATTTGAAATTTCTATTCGAGTTTTGGAATTGATGCTGAGATTTGATTATACACCAAGTTTGGTAGTAGTGAACAGATTGATTGCTAGACTTACTAGAGGGAAGAGAGTCCATGAGGCGTACCATGTTTTTTTGGTAATGCTTGAGATGGGTTTGGTTCCTGATGCATATACTTGTAATTCACTACTCTTTGGTGTTTGTAGGTCCAATTGGTGTTGGCAGGCCTTGTCTTTGTTTTATAGATTCAGGAAGAGTGGATTTGTTCCTACTGAGTATTCTTATACTTCATTAGTTATGGGGTTTGGAAACAAAGGTTTGTGGAAAGAAGTTTACCGGATTATGAAGGAGATGAGGAGGGATGGGTGTTTTCCTACAGTTGTTACTTATACTGTGCTTATTAAGTGTCTTTGTAAGTATAAGTTAGTCGACGAGGCATTGAGAATCCTTAAGGTGATGAGTAATGAAGGTTGTGAGCCAGATTTGGTTACATACAATGTACTTTTCGGTGCGCTTATTTCCCTTAATAGAGTCTTTGATTCAAGCCAACTGCTTTGGGTGATGGAGGAGAATGGTATAATTCCTGATCAGCATACTTTCTGTGCAATGGCTGCTAGTCTGCTAAAAAATGAACATGTCAGGGAATCACAGGATCTTTTGTACCGAGCAGTGAGGGGTAATGTTATGGATATTGTCACATGGAATATTATATTACATGGTTTGTGTGTAGAAAACAGAGTGTGGGACGCAATAGCAGCATTGAGTTGTATGACAAAAAGAGGTTTTGTTCCAAATAACGTGACATGCAATATTGTACTTAAAGGGCTTTGCTTGGAGTGTATAGATAAGTCATTATATTTCCTAGATTGTTTCTATTGGGGAAAGGATGGACCTGACGTGGTCTCTTTCAATACAATTCTATCAGCAGCATGCAAGCAGGTAAACTTTTCTATAATCTGGAGGGTTCTGGATCGAATGAACTCTGTGGGAGCTGTGCCCAATGTTGTTAGCATGACCTGCTTACTTCAGTATTTCGGTAAGGCTGGAAAGTTGGAGAAATGTTCAAACTTTTTCAATTATATGATTGACAGTGGATATTGCCCTACAACTGTGACCTATAATGTGCTTCTGAACAATCTTTGCAAGAGAAGGCTGCTGTTAGATGCAAAAAGACTATTCAACAAGTTCAAGGACATTGAGACATTTCCTGATACAACCTCATACAATATTCTCATACATGCTTATGTTAGAAAGGGGGATTTTCTTATAGTTAAATACTTGCTGTTTGATATGTATAACCGAGGTCTAGTGCCTGATGCCATCACATATGGATCTTTAAGTTATGTGTTCTGCAAAGGAAGAAGTGTAGATGATGCTTTAGATTTGGAGGAGCAGATGGTCAAGGATGGAGTCAGAACGAGTGCTTCTTACTACAATCCGATACTGGCTGCTATGTTAAGAGAAGATAGATTGTGGGATGCTTTTCTGATATTGGTTAAGATGGAGATTGAAGGGATTGAAGCAGATGCTGTCTCCCGTAAACTTTTCGATCGTGCAATGTCAGCTGGTGGGAGGAAGAAAAATTCTAAGGCCATGAAGATTCTTGAAATCATAATGAAGAAAGCAGAACTTCAGTCCAGGGAGGAGGCCGGTTGAATCACTAAACTTGGCATGTTCCTTTTCATCAATCATACTCATGGTTGCCAATGAAGCCCCAGTCCATGGGTCCCTGCATCTCAGTTTATAAAATAGGTATGTTTTACTTATTAACTGGTTCTTTTTCTCCTATCTTTCTTTCTTTTTCTCCTATCTTTCTGGTTATTAAGAATTCTGTTGCAACTGAGTTTTTAATCTCCACTAAATTACTGTCTGTTTTTCTCTTCTCTGTTCAGTGAATTATTTTTAAAATTTACTGGAACAGACCATTGTTGCTTTTGGGGGATTTTCATATCTATTGAAAATCTCTCCTTGTAGCTAGGAAGAGATGAAAGGATGAGAAGTTATGGAAGTAATGAAAAGGATTAATGAAGACATTTGTGCTGTCACTCGGTTGATGCCTTTCTTTTCTAACTGGGTTACTGGAGTACATAGCCAAGTTGAGCTTATTTCTTTCGAGGGGATGATAGGAAGTTTATATAAGATTTTACTTCTCTATAGTTTCTCCTTTTAGTTCAATTATATTTCTTGCCAGTTTTCCTTTATTGTTGCTTGACCCCTGTTTCTGTGTGAGTAATTAAAAAATCAGATTGGTCGTTTCTTAATTATTGTCTAGAAGATGGGATGTAAATTCTAATAGATTTACATGTCGAAAGTGGCACTCTTTGCTTGATTTTGTATCTTAGAATTAAATCAATGACCTGGAAGCCTGAAAATAAAGTCTGTTTCTCTCATGCCTCATTTTCTGCATGAGTCCAGTCAAAGAATGGCTTTTTCAAATGTATTCTTTATAGGACAAATTTTCAAACTAGATCCCTTCAGGAATTTATTTTCAAAAAACGACCCATTTGAAATTTATTTGCCATTTTCGATCAAGTTTCAGCCACCTCGCTGAAACTGGGTCGAAAATGGGAAATAAAGTTCGAAAACTTCACGGGATTTAAAATCCCATGAAGTTTAGTGCCTGATTAACCACGCTAATGAAGCTGCAGAAGTTAAAAAACTTCATGGGATTTAAAATCCTGTGAAGTTTAGTGCCTGATTAACGATGCTAAACTTCACGGGATTTTAAATCCCGTGAAGTTTTCGAACTTTATTTGCCATTTTCGACTTGGTTTCAGCTAGGTGGCTGAAACCAGGTCGAAAATGACAAGTTTCAGCTAGGTGGCTGAAACCAGGTCGAAAATGACAAATAAATTTCAAAGGAGTTGATTTTTGAAAATAAATTCCTAAAGGGGTCTATTTTGAAAAATTGTTCTTCTTTATATTACAAAGTAGATATTCTCATTTTTCTGACTCAGTAATTCTTTCTCTAAACCAATGATTTTGTTTGTTCTGTAGGTATGCATTCATGTATATGAGAACTCTTCTAACCCGATAATTGTAACAAGCGGGGATTCTCTGCGTAAGGAAAGAAATCCTGGATTTTAAGGTTGAAAGAAGCCCTTCAACTCCAGCCTTTTGATATGTGTGTGTGTGCGTGTTTTTTTTACCCTTTGTGTTTTTTTTTTTTTTTGGGGGGGGGGGGGGGTGGGGGGCGGGGTGTTTGTGGTGCGGGTGGGGGATTCTGGACCGAGCTTTGAGAAAACGTTTATGGGCTTGACCAGGCTACTGGTCTGTTTCAGGACAGTGGGACTCTTCTTTTTCTCCCTATTGTTTGGAATATAAGGCAAGTCTCTCCCACTCCTGCCCCTAAAAAAATAGCACAAGAAATGTCAACTTACATTTAGTATTTATTTCTCAATTCATCTCATTATTTTTATTTTATTATTGTTATTATTATTATGTTTGCTTTAAAGTAGTATTTGTGCTAGTTGACATTTCTCTAAGTAGTGCTTCATGTAGCTGGCATTCAGCATAAAATCAACCATTGAAAGGTACAAGAAGGCACGTGCTGACAGTTCCCAGTCAAATTTAGTTAGAGGTCAATTCTAAGGTAAGTAGGTTGTCTCTTCTGTTGAATAAACGCTTTCAGTTAATCTTAGTAAACAACATGCTTTACCCAAATGTCTGTATTGAAAAATCAGACATCTATCCTTGATAAGCATATTTTTCTTTGTATTTCTGTGTACTACGATCCTTTGGAATTCATGACTTCTTTTAAAGAGATATGGTCGTCAAGTGGCATACGAGTTAAGCATCTTTAGTTTTTATTGAAAGCCACTCAAGATGCATGAACCTGACATAAGCCTCTTTATATGGTTCTTTCCTAGATTTTAAGATGTATTTATTATGTAATGCTGATATTTGGGTCACAGTTGCAACCATCCTTATAAAAGCAAGCAAACCATGGGGTGATTTGATATGATGACTGCAGCTAATGTCAGTTATCATACGCTCTGTTTTTTTAAATTAGACGTCCTTTTCTTTGTCACAAAAGAAAAAAAAAACAACAACTTTGATTAGTATATAGAAGAGTTTGCTGGCAACAGATTTTGTGTGTGCATACATGTGCACGTTAATAAATGTAGGTACTGAAAATACTTGATCATTATCACTTTTACAATAATGTTAAAAAATCATAAGTATAGTGCTCATTTATTTTACCATGATGTGATTTTTTTTCTGGTTTCATGAATAAATAGTGGATCATTTTAAGATGGAGAATCAATTTCAGGACATCGTAATTATAGGATAATTCAGAGTATTCCCATTTCCCAGTGTTCCTTCACTTAATTTACCCCAGAAAATCTCATCAGAAATGAAATAATATGAAAAAACAGCTCAATTCTTAATGGAAAAATGTATTAATATGTCTATATTGAAGTTTGAAGTTCCATAGGAAAAACTCAAAAAAAAAGGTGCGGGGGGGGGTGTGGGGGCGGGGCTGAAGAAAAGGAAAAATAAAGGAGTTTCAAGTGTTGACCCTCAACTAACAGAAAGCCTGGTCACGGATCTTTTGAATATTTTCTTCTAAATAAGCAACCATTATCAGAAAAGTAAAGTATGGTTATGTAAGAAAAATGCTTAAACTGTAGCAAAGATAGGTGCAGATTACATAAATAGTGGGAGATGATGAAAGCATGTGCAGGAAATTTTCCCCCTTTAGAGGAGAGGGTAGGATTTCACCATTTTTATTTATTTAAAAAGCGTAACACAAAACTGTATACTTTTTTCTGTACAAAAGTTCTCCAAATGTGGTTGGAGGTATATGACTGCAAAGTACTAGATGTAAATTTAACATTATTATATCCTAAGCTAAAGATTTTTCAGTAACTAAGTCAAGGATATATACACGCAGATGACAGGTGCATGATAGCTGAGTATAACCAGCATTGAGTGTATGCTTGTTCCCACAATGATAAGATTTAAGTTTGGGCTGTCTCTTAATTAGAGGAGTTCACAGCTAATTGATAATGTTAGAAAGATAGAAATAACGTTGTCTCTTAATATGTAAAAACTTAATGTCAGATAGCACAAAGTTTACAGAAACTGTAGGAGACTCGCCGATCATGCCATAATTATTTACATTGTCATCATAACAGGTTACCTTGAATATCTTCCACCATGCTAAAGTAAAAATTGGAAACAACAGAAAATTATACAAAGTTCAAGTACTATTATGATATAAAATTACTGGTGATGATATATAAGAACAAATGTATCCATCTACATATTATGTCGGAAAAGCAATTATATTAGCGCAATGCAGGGAAAAGACAGTTTATTAGTCTCTCTTGGTTATAATAGTTACAGAAAATTTGTCAAGTTGGAACGGTATTTTGACAGGATATCCCTTTTCCAGCTACAGTTTAAACTTCGCAAATGGATTCCTCATGAGTTGAGCTCAACAACCTAGCCTGTAAACAGATTTGACTTTTTTTAATCAAGTAATAACAATCAGATATTGCACAAGAAGGGCAGTTCGTCAGATGTTGCTAGTAATTGGTGTTTAGTGCATTCATTTTGTGCACATAACTCTGTAGATGACTACTGTAAATATCCTAGTGCAGTAGCAACTCCAACACTCGCTTGGTATTATATAAAGGTTACTCCTTTTGAAGAACCATCTTATTCTTTTAGCCATTAAAGTTCAAATCTCCAGCTGCAGAAATTTAAAGCTTATTAACTTCTGTTATAACTATAATGCTGAGCACATGTAAATTTTAAAGATGTCATAGCTAAAGGTTATTCATCATGAAGAACTATCTTATGGTTAGCCAGTAAAGTTCCAGATCTATAACTGCGAAGCTTGTTATCTTCTGTTCCACTACAACTATAATTCTGGACATACAGATACATTCATATCGGCCTACTCTCCCTAAGTTCCTATATAAACACTGCTTCCTAATTTTACTTGAAATGTATATACCATTTTTGTGTATATAACTCAAAATTTTTATGACTGCAGCAATATATCGGCAAGAAGCAGCAAGATTTTGTCATCAGATACAGATTTTACAGAAAACTAAGAGGTCAGCCTCCTATAGGTAACCATAAACTAGTAGAATGATACTGCAGATACAGTGAACTTGGTCAAATATTATTAAATTTCTTGGATTTTCTGGGTGATTCTCTATGAAATATGTGCAATAAACTTTGCTAATTAATCAACGGTTATTTTTGATATTATGTCTTGTTTACCCTTAAGTCTACATGTGGTTCTAAGCTGATATTGCTTGTCTTTTTCCTATCAGCATGAGCTCTTACTTGTGGAAATTGAACACATGCAGAAAGGTAATGCCTTTGTCAAAAAATATCATTGTAAAGTTTTCTGCAGTTTTTGTTTATCATCCTAAGGTAATTTTTCTTTTGTATGTGTGCAGGAAGTAGAATTTCAAAATGACGATATGTATCTCACTACTAAGGTAATACATTCCTATTTAAACTACCTGCAACATATTAGAAAAATCTTTGTTTACGTCGTGAAGATTGATACGTGATTTAGCGTGTTAACCTTGATTTTGGGTCCCTTAATTACATTTGATGATTATTCTTTAGTTGAGGACCTTGATCTGTACTTCGCTACACAAATAACAGAGTTAGAGGTACCAGAGGTTGTTTCCTCTGGCGTGCCCTCAAATGCTCAAGTCAGTGATTGTTTCTAGTTAATCTGAGGAGAAAAACAAAGCATAATCTAATTGACTTTTTATGTGTAAATTTTGCGTACGTTGGTTTGGTGGAAATCACCATTATTTATAGTTGGAATCTCTAACCTCTGTTATTTGTGTAGCGAAGTACATATCAAGTTGAGCTTGATTTATGGGGGTATGTAGGTAATTTCAGCCGAGTGTGTGTAGTATTGGTTCAGACTCTATTTGACACGTGCCAGCAGCTGATTAGCTGAGTCGTCTTTGCACAGTGATGGTGTTGTTAGATGACATGTCCAAGGAGCTTTGAAGACTCTGCCTCGAAAGGTCATAATGACTGGTGTCACATTAATTGCTTGATGGCGACTAGGCGGCAAAGTGCGGGCGCTGATTGGATATTCATTAAATGCAGTGTGACTTTTGATGACACTTGTCAGACCGTTCCACTGTTTGATCCCCCGTGTCTTGTGTTCGAGTGGGGAATGCCTTTCTTCTTGGAGTCAGACTGGAAGCGCCTTTCGTCTCGGATCTAGATAGCGAGGCGCGAGGCGACCCGACAGGCTTATCACTGGGTTACTTGTCGGTGTTTTAGGAGTCAACCAATTAGTTATCATGTGGCTGTTCTTATTGATCTTAGTAATTTCCAAGGTATAACATTGGCCCCTTTTCTCCCGGACCCCGGAAGTTGAGTTTGAGAGAGAATGAGGCGCCGCCCTAGTTGGAACTTGGTCCGTCCTTGCTAGAAGACAGTTGTGATTGACATTTCTGACGTTAGTGGAGATTGTGTAGCAGTTTTGACAAAGTGACTTCGTTTGACAGGACGCCGCTTCGGTTTTCAAAAACCATTAGCGGTTTTCCCATAAACCATGCTAACCATTATTTTCTTGCCACGTGTCATCCCCCTTTGCCAAAAACCCTAGAAACCCTGAAGCTTTTATTCCACCATTGGGAGAGCACCTTCAGAATTTTTGCCTTAGGTTTGATCACTTCTTCTCCTGCTTTGATGACTTCCAATGCTGAAACTGTTATGGTTCGCAACAAGGCGAATCGCCTTGTTGCGTTTATACCACTCGAAGATGCTTACTGATTATTTGGAGCAATATGCCCTAGGTTATGACATCCCCAACGCTTACACACTATCGACTTCATCGAGAGATCAGTCTATTTATCATCACGGTGGACGTATGGCGCCGTTGCACTGACACCATCTCGACTACGCCCTCCTCTTGTCGTTACATCTGTTACTTCAGAAGGTTTTCAAGCTTTAGGGTTGCAGACACAATTTACATCGAACTCCATTGCTTTTCTGGTGCCATTCCTTGTCATCTGCTATTGAGTAGATGTCAGACTGACATTGGGCATGTTGGATCATTTGGTTTGTGTCAAGGCTAGCAAGGAGAGTCACTTTTATCTGCAAGCAGTGTGTGACTACCGCCTTATGTCTAATGCCCCTGAGACGAACAAAGGATGGCGGGAGAAATTTTTCTTCGTCATGAGGGCTGATCCGGTCCTTGCTTGTCCAACATGACCGGAGATTAAGGAGGGCCTACGATCAAAGATGCTTTCGGCTGAAGAGTTGCAAGGCTTAGAGAGGATCCGAGCCTACAAGAGGTTGCAACATTGGAAGAGCCTGACCGACAACGTCATTCTTAGTGCTGCCAACATATCTTTCATTCCCGCTTTTGAACCAGACTTTGCTCGTGCAGCAGTGCTATCTATTGACGAGCAAAGGCAGAGGGCTCTCTCATCCTAGCTCTCCTCCTGTGCCATGGAAGCAACTCTGCGATGATCTGGAGGCAGAGAATCTCCAAGTCTTGCAACAACAGCCTGTTGCTAATATAGCTGCCAAACTCGATTTGAGCAAATTTACTGCTCAGGTTAAGCAGTCCAAAAGGAGGAAGAAAAAGACCGCTTCTAAGGGGTGTCGTCAGGCTCTTTGCTCTTGGAGACGAGGCAGTTGAGGCTACACTCGGGGAGATTGAAGTTGTGCCTGGGTCAACTAGCGGAGTTGTTGCCCTAGAATTTTCCTATGCTCCGCTTGAGTTTATCGAGATAGAGGGTGATTCTCCTCATCCGGTTCCTGAGGAAGCTGGAGAGGGAGACATTCCTGTTATTGAACCGATAGGAAGTGAGGCTCCACCCAAAAAGAGGTGCTGACCTGAGAGGAGGCACCGACCAAACTGGGAGAGGGGCTTAGGTCATCCAGAAATAAATAAAGAAAGGCGTGGGAGGATGTTGCAGATGTCCGGGACGGACACGACTTCTTCTAACGCTAGAAGACCACAAGAAGACACCCAGGACCTTAGCATGTCGTGAAAGAGGCACACTGGACGGGCGTGCTTCAACCGTGTCTTCGGGGCACAGTTGAATGTAGATATCATGAACGCGAGGTGCAAGATACTAGGTTGAGAAAACCGAGCAAGAGTTTCGATCTTACGACTGTACTCCCCAGGCGGAGTGTTTCACGAGTTAGTTGGGCCCCTGATCCGCGTAGACCAAGGGCGAACACTCATCGTTTACGGCATGGATTACCATGGTATCTAATCTTGTTCGCTCCCCATGCTTTCGCACCCCAGCGTTAGTAGGGACCCAGAGAGCTGCCTTCGCTTTTGGCGTTCCTCGAAGGCTTCAAAATTGGCGACGCCACATTGGCCTCCGGCAATTCTTACTTTGGTTCAGCTCATCTTTGCCCCGTACCAAATACGACCAAAGACCCTCGGGCCTGATGATGGCACGACTAAGATCTTTGTAGTAAGGCCCTTGTTGTCGAGGATTTGGTTGCTGAGGCTTAAGAACGGACTGCTTTGGGGTCTAAGGGTATCTCGACTACTGTGCACGAGGGTCGATACTAGTGGTCATTACGCTTTTCGGAGCTATTTCACCCGAAGGGCTCTCTTGGAGTTTGAGTCGTTGCAATGACTTGAAATTTATCGGGAACTCCTTTTTGAGCTTTGGGTTGAGATGGAGGCACATAAGGAAGCTCGTAAGGTGGCCAAGCTAGCGGCTGCTACTAAAGGCAGCGAGATCGACGAGCTCAAAGAGGGGTCATGCCGTGATGGAACGAGAGTTACCCCATAAAGATGAGGAGCTAAAAGCAGTTGCGGTCGCCGGTCGGTGCTCGGCATCACAAGGTTCAATTAGCGCAGGCCTTGGAGGAGGTAAAGAGCCTCAAGGAGGATCTCAACCATGCTCATCAGGATATGGGACTTCTTTCGAAAGGGTTCGTGTTGCTTGAACCGAAACGAAAGATCTACGGGCCAAATTGAATCAGAAGGTAGCTCTTCAAGGGACTGTTTGCTAGGAAGTTGCCCACGTGACTACCTAGGCCGAGCTACAGTGTAACTCTCTCCACATCCAAGTTTAAGAGCTTGAGACCGGATAGTCCATCTGGAGTCAAAAGCCTTTGAGACCGCGATAATCGAGAAATATCGCGATAGTTACGTGGGTAAGATTAAAGTGGCCCTTGCTTGTAAGGTGAGGTTAGATTATCTGAAGGGTCAGCTTCCTCCTCAGCTTTTGTTGAAAGAAGACTACTTAAAGTATCCCTCTCGAGCGGCTAACTACCTTGATGTCCTCAGGACACTCGAGGTGCAAGGTGGGTTAGGGATAGTGTAGGAGGATGAAGAAGTTGCCAATGGAGGGGGTGAGGAGGAGGCCCCTGGCAAAGACGCTAGTGAAGGCCGTGATGATGACGCCCACTTGTCTTCATCATCTAAGAAGCCTGACTCTCCTCTCCCCCATCGGTTGCACCCGACTCAGATTTGACTCCGGTTCATGATTTAGACACTGCTCCTTGAGGAGGATGTAATTCTTGTATCAAGTCTTTATAAGAAAGTCCTGTAATTTTTTTTAAAAATTAATGAAAAGTCTTTATTTTGGTGACTCGCTTTTTCGCACTTAGTTTATGAGTAATTTCTCACGTGTGCTTTTGGGATATCTTGAACGAGTCGGTGGGGATCGAGGCACGAGTCTTGTTGTGTTCTGGGTACACCAGTGAAGATCGAGTGGTTCCTTGGTATTGTGTACCTAAGGTTTGTTGGAGGCTTTTGGCTAGTGCCTAGCGGCCACATCTTCTGTTCGTGCCTTGTGTCTTATTTTGAAAATTGATTCCAAGAGTTTGTGAATGCCCGATGAGTCGGTGAAGATCGAGCTATGAGGGCTCCTTGCCGTGCCTTGGGTCTACTCTTGAAAACCGATACCGAGGACTTTGGTCTTCGTTGTCGAGTCGATAAAGATCGAGCGGCAGGAGCACGAAGGGTTTGCAAACTAATTAGCCAAAAAAGCAAGGTATTCTCTAGTGGTTTTATATTTACAATGTGTTGTACTCCTCAATTGCTTTACACTTTTCAAACCACTAAGACTTTTCTCTTGGCATTTTGTCTTGCATTTCATTGGACAACGTTCTTTTTTATTGTCGATGAGCTTTCTACAATGAGGGATTGGCTATCATAGTGCTAGCTGTTGGTTATTAGACGTGATAACTTCTGTTGGGGTGACCTCCCCACTCTGTCTGCTATGGGGTCTCTCCCGAGGAAGCTTCATAGGTCAGTTTGCAAGTTCCTACCAAGTTAGCGAAGAAGGTTCGCGTTGTCTCTTTGTACCTATTATTCGTCCACCACACTTGTTGCTGGTAGTGGGAAAATAGTTTCCTTGATCTGCTTTTCCATGATTTGGAATTGAAGATCAACCATCCCTCAAAAAGTGAAGAAGAGGCCCTATGGTGGGCACCAAGCTGTGTACGTCACGAAGTTGATATGTGATTAGGGGTGCAAACCTTGGTTTTAGGGTCCCTTACTTACCTTTGATGGTTAATCTTTAGTTGAGGGTCTTGTTTTGTACTTTGCTGCACAAATAATATAGGTTAGAGACACCGGAGGTTGTTTCCTCTAGCGTCCCATCCGACACTCAAGTCAGTGTCTGTTTCTAGTTAATATGAGGAGAAAAACAGAGCATAGTCTTGTTAAAATTTTATGTATAAATTTTGTGTACTTTGATTTGGTGGAAATCACCATTATTTATAGTGTTTACGAGGGCACGTAAGTAATTTCAGCGGAGTGTGTGTAGTATTGGTTCAGACTCAGCTTTACACGTGCCGGGAGTTGACTGGCGAAGTCGCATTTGCACAATGATGGGCCTGTTGGAGTGATGACGTGTTCGAGGAGCTTTGAAGGCTCTGGCTCGAAGGTCATAATGACTTATGAGTTGACATCGCATTGATTGCTTAATGATGACTGGTGGGGAAATGCGGACGCTGATTGTACATTCATGAAATGCAGTGTGACTTTTGATGACGCTTGTCAGGCCGTTCCACTTTTCGAGCGCCTTGTGTCGGGTCCGTATGGAGAACACCTTTCGTCTCGGAGTCGGACATCCAGCGGGATCTGAGCTGGAAGCGGCTTTCGTCTCGGATCTAGATCTCGAGGCGAGTCGGCTAGCTTATCCTGGCTTATCACCCGGGTTGCTTGCAGATGCTTTGGGAGTTGGCCACTTAGTTATCATGTGGCCGCTCTGATTGGGCTTGGTAATTTCCGGTGTGTAATAATCTTGAACTCAAAACATCTAGTTTTAGCTTGATATTTAATCTCAATATCAGTAATTCTTCATGACATTTATTACATAATTAACTAGTGAAATCTATCATTTTTCGTGATTTCATGGACCATGCCTTCTCAACTATTCTCAATCTCTGTAGTTGCGTTGTAAGTTTAAGTACACGACTGTATCAAACTAAATTGTCTGTTAAATTTGCATTCTAGCTTCCTCAATATGCAATTCTTGAGAACAAATATACAAGCATATACATGTCCACAAGTACGCATATTGTGTATACTATGCATATTAACATACTATTCTTTATTTTCTATAAGACTATAACCTTATATATATATATATATGAGAAAAATGGGTATGCTTGGTACTAAGCACAAATTTTGTGCTTGGTAATGAGGTGTCACATTCTCATCCACTCATTCAATTGGGGGACCACATTCAACCCATGTGAATGTGGTCCCCCCATTTGAATGAGTGGAGGATAATATTCCACCTCACTACCAAGCACAAATTTTGTGCTTGGTACCAAGCATACCCATATTCCTCTCTCTCTCTCTCTATATATATATATATATATATATATATATATATATATATATATTCAGAATGTTTCTAACACTTTCTCCACTTGGGTATCCAGAAAGCGAAGAAACCATCAGAGCTTTTTTTGTGGATTCCTAACAGAAGCTACAACCGCAACAAGTGCGCGATGAATTTGATCCTGAAGATTTATTTACATTCCTAAATCTCATTTCACTTTGTTTAGGCTAGCCTTTGCTTCGTTTTCCTGATAATTTCTTGATTATATTCTTTTAAGTTATTCTGTTACTTGAATTGTCTATGTGGTTGTGATCTAGATCAGCATATTTACAAACTTTAAGACTAATTGATGTCCCATAATATTTTTTAGTTTTATCAATGCTTGTTTACTTTTACTCAACTGATAGTTGCATTTGTGGTGTAGGTTGCAAATCTTTAGCAAGTGAACTGATGTGACTCAAACTCCATATTCAAGGTGTCTGCCAAGTTACATGTATGCTTTCTCTTCAGGAATATGTTTAATGTTACCTAAATACTGATATATAGAAAGAATACTCACTAAACGTATCAGTGAATTTATTCATCAATCTGTATCTAGTTTGTTCGTAGTCTACAAACTATTTTGTGGAGAATGATGGAACAATTTTCCGATTGATCATATAAAATACATTTTATCGTCAATGTTCATGGAGTCATCAGTTTTTCTTGATCAAACTTTCCGATTGAGCATATAAAATACATCTTATTGGCCTTTTCATGGAGTTGTCAGTTTATCCTGAACCCATACACATCAAAATAGTATCTTCACCAAAAAACTTCAATCGGTACTCCATCCCTATTTATAGGTAGAGTTTCAATTAATGGATCAAATCTGCATGCGTAGGAATATACTATCATGCGATATTTGATCTCCAACAAATCATATCTCAATAGATACGGAAGCCCACTACTAAGGGCGCCAGTATCGATCACCATTTATTTCCCTAATAATCTTTTCAGCTACTTAGCTCGAATAACACCACAGTACTATTACAAGAAACTTCAACTATAATTTAGTTTTATAAAAATTACAATCTCATTAAAATGTTTATGCGAGCAATTCTACGTGACTCAACAACTCTAGTTCCTATTACAGACGCTGCTTGCTTTTATCAATTTTCTTGGTAAAACAGGACTTTCCCGCTATGTAAAAAGCCATGAGACATGTTCATTAAAGGTTTGCAAACAAGCATCGTTCTGAAGATCAAGGCGGCGACAAATTCTGGACGAATGGCCTCTACGAGCCAACCCGAGCAGAATAATGCGATGCATGCATCGCAGATACTTTGGGGTGGTGTTCCAGATACACCAGAGTAGTTTCTCGAGCTATTTTCTGTGCAGAAACTCAACATCCCGACCCACTCTTTGCTATCCTTGAGCATCCGTATCTTCGTCTGAGGTCTAGTCTTTGTCACAAACATGCCCTCTTAACTCTCTTGACTCTTGCGTACATATATAACATTGTTTTTAACTAATTGTACCTTGCATTCTCCTGTGGAGGCATCAAACCCCAATCCTGCGTTCTCGTCTTCTAAATTTTCTCGACAATTAGTGTTGGGGAGTTTTGAAACTTCCTGAGTAGAAGGATTCACTAAATAGCATGCTCCCTTTGTGCCGTCATATCCGAAGGCCAATCCATTGACAACATTTGATGGTATAAAATCTATTGGATCCTGCAACTCAAAGGAGGAATCCTTAATGCCAGGAACTGGATCAAAATTGTATAATGTCGCCTTATTTGCGAAGAACTTTGCTCGTAATTATGGGACTCCTAGCTAAAGATCTCTCGTGATGCTGCTCAAAAAAGTAGGGATCATAAGTCGAAGAGCACCATTGTTTGCAGACGCAATGAAGCCTTACTAGATACTGCGCTGGAAGTCTATGTCGATTATTTTTAAGGATGATAACAAAAAACTTAGGAGAATCCTACAACATAAGCAATTTCAAAGTGAGCGTACACCATGGAGAAAACTACAAGTAATTAAAGGATACAGTCCAAAACTTGGGATTAGTGAATTCTACTTCGCATCCGTTTAACTTGGGGGAAAAAAAACACCACCACCACCACCACCAACTGACATTTTGAGCTCCACACAACCAAGTTGGGCTGTTTCTGAGAGATAAATATCAAGTGCGCGCACTAGGGTCAATAACATTAAATGTGCATATAAATGATGTTAATTGTTGGATCATTAGATTTCGAGATTTGTACTCATATCTAACGCTTGATATTCTTTGAATGCATATTTAATACCATGAGGATACTTTCTCGTCTCTAGGATGATCCCGCTTAACTACTACTAAACCCCATGTACCTTTAAGGGTTTTCAAATAACCCCTTGAATCCCCTCTATTCCGCTAAACTCCTGTAAAATTTTTATCACTTTAATTTCAAGTAACATGTTAGACACTTGATCTGAAAAAGGAGAAATCACCTCTCAAAAAATAACCCTTACTAACAATTTTTTTAAGGTTTGAGGGAGGTTTTGCATTTTTTGGTGCTTGGACCATGACAGTTAGATTTGAGGGTGTTAATTTTGGGGTTTAAAGTGACTATTCAATGGGTTTTCTGGAATAAATAAGTTCATGGGGCTCATGTGAAAACCCCCTCAAGTTAAAGAGAGGTATTACAATAGCTAATGGGGTTATCTTGTAAAGTCTAGATTTCTTTTATTTTTCCCCACTTCCTCTCAGAGAAAAATGGGGTAAAAGGATCCCAAGAGCAAATATATAAGCAGCAACAGAAATAAGATCCGGTTAATTTTTCGGTACGCCTTCCTTTTTGTTAACAGGAGTGAGTGATTTATATGGTACGTTTTCGCGCAATAGATAATGGAGTAATTTTGATTGTTTGTACTTATTTATTTGGCCTGTGGACTACAAAAGTATTTCCTATCTTGTGTAATTGAATAATGCACTTGAAATAGATACTAAACCTTACTTATCCTATTTATTTTATAAAAAAGGCTAATTACATTTTAATGCCCTGAAGTTTAATTGGCTTTTAAGTTTTATATGGTGAAGTTTAAATTTGCTAAAAATACTCCAAAGTCTTTAGAGAGAGAGAGAGAGAGAGAGAGAGAAATATGGAGAACCTTGGTACCAAGTTCTTTCATTGAACTTGGTAATGAGGTGGCCAAACCTCACCCCTATATCACGTCTCGAAGATGGAGCCTCTTTTTTGGAATAGGTAAATAGTGATTGAGCAGATGCTGATTTGTTTTGGTTTGTATATCTTGTTTTTTATCTTAATTATGTTTTGTTTCTAAATTAATTTTGATGATTTTTTTTAGGCTTTGTTTCTTCTTTCAAAAGAGATGCATTACCTTTCTTTTCTTTCTCCCCCCTCCCTCCATCCCTTTTTTTTCTGGGTTAGAGAAGCTGATAAGAGAGAATGAGCATGTCCTAGCGGTAAAAATAAATTACTTGAATTTCAAATACAAAATTAGATGACTTGACAAAAGGTTTTCTTACTAGATATTTTGAACTTTATGATTTAAAATTCAAAATTATATAATTTATTTATCAATCCTTTAGTTAAAAACTTTAAAAAATAATATTACAAAATATGAATATATGATTTTTAAGAAATTATAAAATAGGACACTCAATGATATTGAAATTTTGTAGAAAGAATTTAATTAGAAAAGAATATACCTTTTAAAAATAATTACCCCTGATGTTCCTCGCTCTTTGAGAACCAACTAGAATTTCAAACTAATAAAAAAGATATGCAATTTTAAATTTATTAATCCTAAAATATTATTAGGAATCCATTAGAATTTGAGACTGCTCGTTTGGATAATGAAAGTATTAGAAGTAAGAAATAGGTTATAGAAGTAACTTTCAAAGCTATGAAGTAGGAAGTAGTGGAAATAACATTTTTTTGTTTGTTTCATATATTTTTAGAAGTAATGGAAGTAGAACTTCTTCCTCTTCATTTACTTTTTTTGTTTGGATAACATTTGAAAATATTATTAGGAAGTAATTTTATCAATGAAAAGTTGTTAGAAGTAACTAATAAAGGAAATATTAATAAAAAAAATTATTTATGTCATAATTAATATGCATTTCAACTACTTCCGAGCTACTTCTGAGTATTGAGGATTGGAAAAATATTTTGGAAGTAAGGATGACACGTAGGCGCCACAAAAGCATTTAGGGAAGTATTGGAAGTAAGTTTTTCAGAGAACCAAACAAACTTTTTTGCTTGGAAGTAGCAGAAGTAGCATATACTTCTTTTACTTCAGCTACTTCACAATTACTTCCGTGCAAACATGACTGTTTGTTTGCACGGAAGTAATTGTGAAGTAGCTGAAGTAAAAGAAGTAGAGGCTACTTCTGTTACTTCCAAGCAAAAAAGTATGTTTGGTTCTCTGAAAAACATACTTTCGCTACTTTCCTAAATGCTTATGTGGCGCCTACGTGTCATCATTACTTCTAAAATATTTTTCTAATCCTCAATACTCAAAAGTAGCTCGTAAGTAGTTGAAATGCATATTAATTATGACATAAATAATTTTTTTATTAATATTTCCTTTATTAGTTACTTCTAACAACTTTTCATTGATAAAATTACTTCCTAATAATATTTCCAAATGTTATCCAAACAAAAAAAGTAAATGAAGAGGAAGAAGTTCTACTTCCATTACTTGTAAAAATATATGAAACAAACAAAAAAATGCTATTTCCACTACTTCCTACTTCATAACTTTGAAAGTTACTTCTATAACCTACTTCTTACTTCTAATCAATGTAAGTATGCTGGATATCCTTAAGAATCAACTATAGAAATTCAAATTATTTTCAACTCTACCTCCTCCTTTTAATCACCTTGTTCGTTAAAATAAATTTTTGCGAAAACCACAGTAATTATGGAGAGTGATTTTCGTTTAATGATTACAGGAAAAAAACTTGCTATTTTATAAATACTTATCCCCAAAACATTTATAAGAACCCATATTTATATCAAATGATAAAGAGTACATCATTATGATATTACAATAAAATTCATTTTCTTTAAAGAAGAACTATAATATAAATTCATCAGAAACATAATTATATCTCCATCAAGAATCCAAAAAGCATAGCTCTCACAATACAGTCTCTAGTGTCCATCTTAGTAAATAAATAAATGAAATCGACTCGACTTCTCAAAACAAAATTTTCTTTTTGTTCCATGAGAAAAATTATAACTAACAGTAGCTCTTAGATAATTTCTGTTAATACATTAGAGAAACAGTTTATATGCCCGATCTGTGTTTACTTTGTTGTGAAGAGATTCAACTAGAATCTCATATAGATGATCCGGATGGTTGGGAGGTTTCAATATAGCTGTTACGGATATAGATCCGATTCCAGACTATGTTATAAACAAACAAAAAATTACCGACTTGGCATTTTCAACTTGGGTTAGCGGCAGTTTTTTTTGAAATACAAAGGAGGGCACGTGTCAGTCAGGATAAACTCTAAAAGGGCTAGTCTATACTATCCATTGTTACATACTAAAAGCTTTATCCCTAAAACCACCAAGTGTCAAAATTCTACCAGTTGGTTTCAGATTAATCTTTTAGGCTTGCAATATTTATTTATTTTTTCATAAAGTTCAAGGTGTTATTTGGCAAAGGGTTAGGAGAGAATGTTTAAGGAGAATGGTTAACACTTAGTTATCCTCCATGAGAGGAGGTTTAAGAATAATTAATTTCTGGTTGAATTTTATAGTGTTTGGCAATGGTTTTAGAGAGGCCACTGATAATGAAACAAGCGATTAATAGTGGAGGAGGAGGAAATGAAAATGGCAAGGCAAAGAGAACGGAGGAGGAGAGCATGGGGGGACATGGGAGCTATATATGGGAGTAGTGGACATGGGGCTGTCTGGTATGAAAGTACCAGACGAGGAGAGCATTAATTGTAGTGGAGGAGTCATGAAAGGGGAGGCGACGATGAATCAAAATTAGACCAGTAAAAAATTTGGGGTTTATTAGAGGCAAAAGAAGGCAAGAAAGGAGGAAAATTAGTGAGAGCCATACTACCATATTTTGATTGAGCTAAAAAAATACTAGCCCGTCGCCGGCCACCTGCCGGCCGCCGTCGGACGCCGGCCACCGACGCGTCGTCGTCCTCGCTCGTCAGCAGGCCACCGGACACGCCGCCGCCGCCGCTTTATAAATAATAACTATAAATGGTGTTTTCAAAACGTGTTTGAAAAAAAAAACACCATGGCATGATGTTTTTCTAAAACACACAACAAAAATAAACACCTTGATTACCAAACACATCCTAATTAGTAATAATGAGTCATGTTAGTAGCACATGGCTTGTAATTGTCATGATGCCACATGGATGGCTAAGATTAAATCCCAAATGTGAAGGGGTTAAGAGAGTTTGTCATTGTCTAAGTCAGGGAAGATCATCCGAGAGCTAGCTGAAGCAAAAGGAAGCAAGGAAAACATAAAAAATGACAACTCAAAGAAATTATAGTTTTCGAGACAGTGTCAATTGTCTTGGAAATGCGAGACATTGTTTGTGTCTCGGAAATGCGAAACACTGTTGGTGTCTC